TGTAGTTTTATGTGTCTAGTATCTTCATATAAAATTTCGTAGACTTGAGATAAGTGTAAGTTGGTCTAATAATTAGTTTTCGATGGCTGGTCAGTAAGGACAGCAACCAGTTTTTGTGACATTTTAAATAGTTAGATAAAACAATCTTCTGCGGGAAAGACCCTTATTTTCATATGCTACAATTGACAAATATTATTGTTAATAAGGAAAATCAATAGGACATTTGTGTGCTACTTTGTGGTGTGCTTTTAATCTTATCAGAATCGACGGAAAGAATGGCGGAGACCGCCGGAAATGGAGTTGGGTTGGTGCACAGGTGCACGGGTGCAAAGGAAGGCTGGGCTTCCCTTTTTCTCTCACCACTCCCGTGGCTTTCTTTTCTCCTTTATTATTTTCTTTCAGCCACTCCCGTGGCTTTTTCTTCTCTTTTCATATTTTTTTTTGGAGCAAGAATTTCAAACGTCCGTAACTATACCGTTATAATCCGGACTCACAAACAGCTTTCACCTATGCGTTCGTGATCTCGATATCTATTCAACAATATAAATTATGACCTTGATTCAAACTTCGTAACTAATTTAATTAAAATCTAAATCCAAATAAATTAATATAATTTCTCAAAAATAACATAATATCTCAATAATACAATTATGTATATTATAACAGTGAAATCCAAGAACGAGATTTCACATCTCCACCGTGTCTAAGACTAGTACTTTTCAAATGAAGTCCAATCTTCAGACAATTAAGAAAGGTTCTGGTTCTGTGTCTCAGTATCTTCATCGCATTAAAGAAGCTAGAGATTACTTAGCTACTGCAGGGGTTTATTTTGCTAATGAGGACATAGTTATCCTTGCTCTCAATGGGTTCCCTTCTGAATACAACACATTTCGGTGTGTTATTCGAGGTCATGAGAATGTGATCTCACTTAAAGAGTTTCAATCTCAGTTGCTTGCTGAAGAGATAACTGTTGACCATTCTACAACTACACCCTTTTATTACTGCAATGGTTGCCAATAATGTATCTCCTTCTGCAAGGGGTCAATCTTCTAATGCATATGGACAATCTCAATTTTTTCCTGGGGGCTATAAACAGTTCAATGGGAATAAAAACAAAGGCAAATGTCGATTTAATCAAGGGGCTCGGTTTTATTCCCCCAAACAGTCTACTTAAACCCATGTGCTCCCTAAACCATATCCAGGCATACTTGGTCAACCTCCAGTCCAATATTTTGGTAATCTAAGTGCCTCATTGATGCCTACTTGTCAAATCTGTAATGCTGAAGGACACACAACTCATTTCTATCAGTCTAAACCTCCGGATAGAGACAAATGTCAAATTTGTGGCAAGCACAATCATAGCACATGGTACTGTTTTTACAATGACAAGGGTCCTAATTTTGGAGGTTCTATTTGACAGTTCTATCCTTCTCCAGGGCAATCCTCCACATATGGTGCTCTACATTATAATGCTTCATTTCAACATTCATCAATGCAGTCTTAACATTTTTTCTTCTCAGCAACAATCTCCACAAGCTTTACATACTACGATGACTCAGCCATCTTTTATACCTTCAACTTCTTATTCTAGTCCTCAAGTGTGGCTCACGGACTCTGGAGCTACTAATCACATGACTGCAGATCTCAGTAATCTATCTCTGGCATCTCCATATCCTACCTCTGAGACCATTCAAATTGCCAATAGTGAAGGTTTTCCTGTGTCTCATATTGGTAGTACAGTTCTGAATGTTTCTAAACTGAATTATGTGCATCCGATTAAGCTCAACTATGTACTTCTTGTTCCTAAGTTGACACACAACTTGCTCTCTGTGCATCGAATTTGTTTAGATAATAATTGCTGACTCATTTTTTATGCCTTTTGTTTCTGGATTCAGGACAAGGCCACATGGAAGATCATTTACAAAGGAATGTGCAATAATGGACTTTATCCCATCTCTTGCCTTTTTGCACCCTCTCATGCCACACATTCTGGTTCAATTCAAGCTAAAGCATTCCTTGGTCAGCATATTCATTCTTCTACTTGGCACAATAAACTAGGTCATCCATCTAATAACATTGTTGTTGTGATGTTAAAACAAGCTAATATCCCTTGTTCAAAACCTTCTTTACCTGTAATGTGCTCTAGTTGTTTGGAGGGCAAGTTTTGTAAACTTCCATTTTCCCTAAGTACCAATAAGGCTGTAAAACCCTTTGTTGTTGTTCACATTGATCTTTGGGGTCCAGCTCCTTCTGTTTCCATTGATGGTTATCGATATTATGTGACCTTTATTGACGAATGTACAAGACACTATTGGCTATTTCCATTGATAAATAAATTTGATGTCTTTGCTACCTTTGTTTCCTTCTATTCTTTTGTTCTTACTCAGTTTACAACCACTATACAAATCCTACAAAGTGATGGGGGGGAGAGTATATGAGTAAGGCATTTCAGTCATTCCTTCTAGACAAAGGCATTACCCATTAGATTTCTTGCCCATACACACTCGAGCAAAATGATTTAGCTGAGCGCAAGCATATGCATATTATTGAAACTACTGTGACCCTGTTACAAGCAGCTCAGTTACTTGCAAGTTTTTGGTCTTATGCATGTCAAACAGCTATATACCTCATTAATAGAATGCCTACTTATGTGCTTCGATATAAATCTCCTTTTGAACTCTTGTTTGGCCATATTCCTGTTCTTTCCCATCTTCGAATATTTGGATGTGCTTGTTATCCATTGTTAAAGCTTTATAATGACACTAAATTACAAGCCAAAACCACCAAATGTATTTTTCTGGGGTATGCTACCAAATATAAAGGTTATAAAGGTTATATATGTTATGAGGTTTCTACACAGAGAATTTATATCTCTAGGCATGTGGTATTTGATGAGTCTTAATTTCCTTACAAAGACTTGTTGGTCCACAATAAAACATCATCTCTACCTCCTGTTAATCACAGTTCATATCATCCTGCACCTGTAATTTCCAATGATAATGTTGTGGTGCCTGTACCTACTTCTCATTCCTCTTCCATATCCCTATCATCTCATTCCTTCTATGAATCTTCATTTTTACCTGATAATCCTCCCATACCACTATTTCCTATTCCTTCATCACCACTGTCCTCTTAGTCCATTACTGGCTCTTCCCCTTCTAGTCCTCAAGTCCCTGTGGCAATTGTCAATCGTTCTGATGCTTCACCAGAAGAACCATTTGGTCTTGATACTTTGCAAGTGGTGTTGGAGGTTCCCCCATTTAATTTGCATCCTATGTAAACTCGAAGCAAGAGTGGTATTATTAAGAAACGAGCTTTGTTAGCTACAGTTCAGGAGTATGAGGGTACTGATTTATCTCTCATTGAACCAACTTCCTACAAATCTGCACTTAAGGATCCAATTTGTTTTAAAGCTATGCAAGAGGAAGTTAGTGCTTTGCATAAACAAGGTACCTGGAGTCTAGTGGTATTACCTGCTACAAAGAACTTGGTGGGGTGTAAGTGGGTATTCAAGATCAAGAGACATTCTGATGGTACTATTGCAAGACATAAAGCTAGATTAGTAGCTAAAGGGTTCAGTCAAAAACCTGGAATTGACTATGGGGAAACATTTAGCCTTGTAGTTAAACCTACAACTGTTCGGTTAGTATTGGCTCTTGCAGCTCAGTTTTGTTGGTCTCTCAGGCAATTAGATGTCAAAAATATCTTTTTACAAGGCATTATAGAAGAAGAAGTGTACATGGCTCAGCCTCCCGGTTTTGCAGATGTTAATCATCCTACTCTAGTTTGCAAGCTACATAAATCTCTATATGGGCTCAAGCAAGCTCCCAGAGCTTGGAATGATCGATTCACAAAGTTTTTGCCTCAATTGGGCCTTCAAAACACCTATATTGATTCATCTCTTTGTTAAAAAGGTTGATTCTGGTATTGTCATTCTCTTACTCTATGTGGATGATATTATCATCATAGGGAGTGCATCTGCAAATATACAACATGTTATTACTGCATTAACAACTGAGTTTGACATCAAGGATTTATGGGATTTGCATTTCTTTCTGGGTATTTAGATTTCAAGAACTACAACTGGTTTATTCTTGTCTCAGTCAAAATATATGTTGGATCTTCTCACCAAAACAGAAATGGTTGATTCAAAACCCTGTGACACTCCTTGCTTGCCCTACAACCGTCTTCTCAAGGATGATGGTGATCCTTATCCCAACCCGACTTTGTACAGAAGTGTCGTAGGTGCTTTGCAGTACCTCACATTTACACGTCCTGATATAGCCTTCTCAGTCCACCAAGTGTGTCAGTTTATGCAAACACCTATGGTTGCTCACTTTACAGCAGTCAAACGAATTTTGCGGTACTTAAAGGGCACCCTACATCAAGGCATCTGTTATTCCAGAGGATCCCTTCAATTAAAGGCTTTTAGTGATGCTGACTGGGCAAGAGACCCTAATGACCGACGGTCTACTACTGCTTTGGTTGTGTTTTTAGGGCATAATCCTATTTTTTGGTCTTCTAAGAAGCAATTGATAGTATCACGATCCTCCACAGAGGTTGAATACCGAGCTTTGTCATCCACCTCTGCTGAATTGGAATGGATCCAACAACTATTAGCATTTTTGAAGGTTCCTTCACCTTCTCCACCTGTTTTATTCTGTGATAATTTGTCCGCGATTGCTTTGTCTTTTAATCCAGTTCAACATCAACGCACTAAGCACATTGAGATTGATGTTCATTTTTGTGAGGGAAAGGGTTGCAAAGAAATAGCTCCTTGTTCAGTTTGTCTCCTCCAAAGAGCAGTTTGCTGACATTCTGACTAAAGGCTTGAGTTCTCCTTTGTTTCATACTCACTGTAACAATCTCATGCTTCGTTCATCAAAGCATGAGTTTGCGGAGGGATGATAGAGTATAGAAGTTAATGTATAGGATGTTGACAATTGTAATTAGATTAAAAGTTCTGTTAAGGCAGTTAGCTTTGGTATTGAAAGTGTCTAAATATCTCAACATCTGTATTACTTAGTGATCAAGAAATATATCAAGAACTTTCATTCTCTCTCTCTCTCTCTCTCTCTCTCTCTTCTCTGAGCTATTCTCTCTCTAAACCTTCTGTATACAATTTCATAGATTTACTTACGTTTACACTCCTCTGCCCTTCTCTCTAAACCACCGAGAACCAGTCACCACCATTTTTACTTCTCTGACCAAATCGTAGCCACAAACCACTAGATGCGTCATCTGGGTAGCCTGTGGAGTCGAACGCTGGCTCTGCATGTTCAATCCGATGACGGGAAGGAACTGAACTGAGAGCTTCCTAATTCCCGGCGGACTCGGGTTGGAGCTTCGTAATATTTCTTCTGACAAACTACCTACACTTGTATTAGACAGAATTCATGTAAATTTTGATTCACAGTCGCGCCACAAGCCACATGAAGGCGGCGGACCAGAATGTAAGTGACAGTGAAGCGAAAGCATAAGTCCACAGCATGATAACGGAACATTCATTCTCTCCTGCTCCAAATAACTGCGTCATTATTCCTGCCATATTTTAAAGGATGAATAAACAATACTTGAGAATAAACTTACATTTGTTACGAAAAAGAGTGAGTAAGCGGCCAAGCGAGCAACTGCTGGTTGCACTTTTTGTTGCTAAACAACAGAAAAGCAAGCGTACCTATGTTCATCGCAGGTGGGAGTGAAAACTGAAGCAGAAGAACAAACAGATATAATGGATCAGAGTGCACCAACCCAAATTTCAGTGCCCCTTTTACAACCAAGACGCCTATAAGAGGCAGGGCAACATATCGAACAACTATGATGCCAACGACAAGAGATTTCTGAATCCCTGACCCTCTCAAACCTGAAACAACAATGTGAAGTAAGTTCTAAACTAAACCAACAATTTAAGTACGAAACTAATAGGATTTCTATGAGTTATTACCTTGAAGTAGGTTTCCTCCTATTATCAAAGTGAGAGCTGGGATGGCTCCGTCTCTGCAATCATAAAGAACAGTCTCCATAAGGGATGCCGAGTGAACAGCAAGAATGATACAAACACTTAGTATAAAGAGCACACTCGTATTTTGAGCCGAAAGTAAAAAACCATCTGCTAATTGAGAACCAAATTGTTCATTCGGATATATACAACTATAGCACCAAGCATGGTAAATGTCTTCCCTAGTATAGTACTGTATTAAGAACGGGAAGCTAGATTAGTTGCCAATAGGTGCGTAGATCATGGATAATTTATTAAGGTTCGATACAGTCCGGGCATAAGTTTTATACCCCAACAAATATGCAGTATCTTGAATCACCCGTAGAGGAGCACCATCTCCTATCAGTAATTTTCGAATCTGAGGGATGACTCCGATTGCAAAACCAACAAGCTACACCAGGAAAAGATTAAGTTTGCCCAGTTTTAATAAAATTACACCGAATCTGGATTGCAATGATATAAAAGTGTCGAAAGGACATACCGCTCCAATACTTGCAGGGGCAAATATTGTTTTCAGATTGATCGTTTTAAACACCATCACTATACGTTGCTTTAGTTGACCTGAAGTCGTGGCCTGCCATGTAAAACAACAAAGATATGTTGGATTATGAACTTGCACAGATTTATTACAAGTGTAGTTTTCTTATTGGTCTATGTTGCATTAGTTAGTTATAAGCTGATATGGACACTTGTATTTAGCTCATAGGCTAGATGAGATGAAAGGCTGAGATTGTTTATATTGCTCTTACTTTCTATCTCTTCCAACGGTTACATTTTTTTTTGTTTTTATTTTTGTAAAACCAACGGTTACATTTTGGACTGTACCGAGCTCATAAGCTCAGCATGCAATTCGTGCGAATTCATCAGAGTTACATTCTCTGAATCTATGGAATTGTTGTAAGGAGGTTCTTATTCCCTCTTGTGATTTCATCACTGTGTACCTTCGTTTTCTTTATTTGGTTCTTGCTCAAACACATTGTCACCATAATAGATCCAAACATGGTATCAGAGCCAGGTTGCAATTTGAATCTGGGTTATTGTTTCTAAGAAAAGTTGAGAGAGTCAAAGGAATCTCTCATTGCAGCGAATTGTTGATTATTGGAATCCAGGTCTAACATGGCTGGAACTGGAGGAGGAGAGCTATGAGCTCCGATCTTCAATGGTGACAACTTTGATTTCTAGCAAATTAAAACGAAGACTATTTTTCGATCCCATGAGCTCACGAATCTAATTGAAAGGGATTTGACACTCCAACGAAGATGGAGTAAGAGCTCACAGAGGCTGATAGCAAGCTGGTGAGAGAAAAGTTGGTCAAGGATGCAAGGGCACTAGGAATCATTCAAGGTGCCGTCTCAGATCAAATATTTCTTAGAATTGCAAACCAGGAAACAACCAAGACAACCTGGGATATATTGAAGCAAGAATTCATTGGAGATAAGCAAGTGAGTTAGTCAAGTTACAAGGTCTTAGAAGAGATTTTGAATATACAAGAATAAGTGATGATGAAACTATGTCTGGGTACTTAGTAAAACTGTTTGATCTAATTAATAAATGAAGAGTAATGGTGAGGAGTTTAGTAATCAATGAATTGTTCAAAAATTGTTGATTAGCTTGCCAAAATCAAATGATAGCATAGCTTCTAATAGCAAATACCAAAGATCTGGAAACCATTGATGCTCAGGATGTTGTAGCAATCTTGAAAGGTCATAAGCAACGGTTGAATAGATATAGAGAAGGGTGTGCAGAGAAAGCATTTGCAAGTTTGGAAATCTCCAAGCCAAACAACAAGTTTGGAGGTCAAAATTACAGTGCCAAGTTCTAAAAAGGTGCAAAATACAAAGGGAAACAATGGTCTAACAAGACCACATGTCTTGTGAAACAATGGCAAGGTGGAAATGCAACAAAAAGACCTTGCAAAATATGTGACAAACTACATTATGGTGAGTGTCGGAACAAAGGGAAGCCTAAATGCCATAAGTGTAGGAAATTTGGGCACATTGCAAAGGATTGCAAACCTCAACCAGCTAGGCATTACAAAAGGTTAATGCTAGTCCCAGGCTTACTGAAAACTTGTTAAGTGTTGGGAAAATGATTGAGCATGGATACTTTCTTGTATTTGGAGACTTCAAAGTTGATGTATATGATGACAGAACACTAACCAATCTAGTTGTAAGTGTGAAGCAAAAGGAAAATAGGTGTTTCCCATTGTAGTTCAATTCTGGGAAGCAACTTGCATTGAGAGCATCTGTTTTGCAAGATTCATTCATTTGGCACAAAAGATTTAACCATCTGAACTACAGAAGCTTGATGCAATTACATGGCCAGAACATGGTTGTGGGATTACCTGCAATGCAAGAAAGAGGAGAAGTTTGTGAAGCTTGTGCCATGGGAAAACAACATAGAAATATATTCCCCTGAGAACAAACTTGGAGAGCCTCAGTACCATTAGAACTGGTGCATTCTGATGTTTGTGGTCCTATGAAGGTTCAAACTCTAGGAGGTAACATATACTTTGTCACATTTATAGATGAATTTTCTAGAATGTGTTGGGTATACTTCTTAAGAAACAAGTCTGAAGTGTTCTATGTGTTCAAGAAATTCAAGTCCATGGTTGAATTGCAATATGATGATTTTGTGAAGAAAATGATAACTGACATAGGGGTGAATTTACTTCAAATGAGTTAGGTATTGGGAATGGAATGACAACTAACTGTAGCTTACACTCCACAACAAAATGGAGTAGCTGAGAGGAAGAATAGAATAGTTGTGAGAGGAAGAATAGAATAGTTGTTGAGATGGAAAAATGTATGCTACATGAGAAGGAATTACCTTATTTTCTATGGGGAGAAGCAGTTTACACAACAGTGTTGTATCTTTTAAATAGATGTCTTACAAAAGCATTACATGACACTACTCCATTTGAAATGTTCAATGGAAGAACTTCAGGAGTGAGGCATCTTAAAGTATTTGGGTCCATATGCTACTTTTTGGTACCAAGTAACTTGAGATGCAAGTTTCAGCCTACAAGTGCAAAAGGGATTTTTGTTGGTTATGGAACTTATGAAAAAAGGTATAGAATCTACAATCCAAGCACTAGACAAGTCATAATATCCAGGGATGTTCTATTTAATGAAGATGCAAAATGGGATTGCAAACTGAATACTATCAAGAAGATCAGAATGCCACTTATTACCTCTGTAGTTAAAAATGGGAATAAAGATGAAATTTATTTTGTCATACCAGATCAACATCTCTATCAATTGGTTCTAGTCTTCAGCAAGATCAAGGGGAAACCTCTAGCTCACAAAGTCCAAATTCAAGTGTTCAAATAAGTAACATTGATTCAGAAGTGATTGATTCAACTCCACTGAGATGGAAATCAATCAGTGAGGTGTATGAAAGATGTAATGTTTGTATTGTGGAACTAGAATGCTTCATTGAAGCTGCAACTTATGAATCCTGGAATAAAGCAATGCAAGATGAATTAAATATGATTGAGAAGATTAACACTTGGGAATTGGTGAGAAAGTCCTTTGATAAGCCTGTTATTGGTGTGAAATGGGTTTATAAAACCAAATTAAATTTGGATAGTACAGTTCAAAAGAACAAAGCTAGACTGGTCACAAAAGGCTATGCCCAGAAGCCTAGGATTAATTTTAATGAGACATTTATACCAATAGCTAGATTAGACACTATCATAACACTTGTAGCTTTGGCTACTTAAAAGAAGAGGAAATTGTTTCAACTGGGGAGATATATTCCTGCTTTGCAGAGTGTGGTTTCAAGAAGAGCTCCGATGAAGCAATACTTTATACAAGATGCACGGATGGTGGAGGTGTCCTAGTTGTCTCTATTTATGTAGATGACATTGTATATACAAGAAATGATGCAAACCTTTAAAGTTGATATGATGCATAAGTATGAAATGTTTGATTCAAGTTTGCTTCATCACTTCCTTGGAATGAACATTATCCAAACTGAATCGAGCATTTTCATTCATCAAAGAAAATATGCAGCTTCTTTACTTAACAAATTTGGATTGCAAAATTGCAAAGTCGTGAGTATTCCTTTGGTTCGAAGTGATAAACTCAGAAACGATGATGATAGTGGTGCAACTGATGAAACTCAAAATAGAAAGATTGTTGGTAGCTTGTTATATCTCACAGCAATAATACCATATTTGGTGTATGTTGCAAGTCTACTGGCGAGGTTTATGCATTGTCTTACAAACAAGCATTTTGGAACAACTAAAAGGATACTGAAATATGTGCAGGGAACTTTGGATTTTGGTCTGGAGTATGAAAATGGGAAAGGATATGTGCTGATTGGATACTACAATGATTGAAGCGGCTCGAAGGATGATATGAAAAGTACCTCAGGTTATGCATTTACCTTTGGAAGTGACATGTTTTCTTGGTCATCTGTGAAACATCAATGTGTTGCACTGTCAACAGCGGAAGTTGAGTATATCAATGATGTGAGGCAACAACACAAGCAATGTGGCTTCGATTTGTGCTTAAGGATTTTGGTGCAATGCAAATAAAAGCTACCCGACTCAAATGTGACAACACTTCAGCCATTGCAATCACCATGAATCTAGTTTTTCATCAAAAGACTAAGGGTGCGTTTGTTGCGCCGGACTGTCTCGGACTGGACTAGCTGCAGGGACTAAGCTGGACTGGTTTAGACTGGACTAAGCTGGACTAACTTATGGCGCGTTTACTAATCCGTAATCAAATTGAGAGGAATTGGATTGAGGGGGAATTGGATTGAGGAGGAATTGAAATGAGGTGGAATCAGAATCAGATTCCTGTTGAAGTTGTTTACTAAAACTGTCATGAATCGGAGTAGGAATGATGTTGAGTCCATATAAGTTGTTTACTAATTCATTTCAATCGGAATGAAAACTAGGTTGATTACTATATTGCCCTTACATAAATAAATTATTTTCATACTAATAATTTAATTAAATTATTAATTAAATTTATATAATAAAATTCATCTATATAAGCATGTATAAATAGGTTTTATTTATTTATTAAAAGATGGCAAAAATGATATTGAGTCTATATAAGTTGTTTACTAATTCACTTCAATCGGAATGAAAACTAAGTTGATGACTAAATTGCCCTTACATAAATAAATTATTTTCATACTAATTAATTAAATTAAATTCTTAATTAAATTTATATAATAAAATTATCTATATAAAAAAATATAAATAGGTTTTATTTATTTATTAAAAATGACATAATGAGTGTCAAATGAAGGGCAATGTTGGGATAATAAGAAACAAGTGAGGGCATAATTGGAATAAAATATGCATTCCTGATTCCCTTGCCCTTAGGGAATTCAAATACCTCACAAAACTAGGGAATCCGGTTCCTCCAATTTCAGGAATTGGATTCCTTGTTTCGTGTGGGCTCCACCACTTTTTTGATTCCTTAATATTTAGTAAACACTGGAATACTCCGTAATCGGAATTCAATTCCCTTTCTTTATTCCGATTACCCTTACGTAAACATGCCATTAGTGAAGCGTTTGGTGCAGTCTCGGACTAAGAAGCAGGATAATAAAAAAAGAACTGTTCACCAGATTTGTGTTTGCTTAGAGTAGGACTACAAATTTTTGCCATTGTGTAATAGAGTAATCCTAGAAACATAATTGGAAAAGGAAAGAAAGTGTACTTTCCTATTTCATATAGAACAGGAAAGAAAGTGTACTTTCTTACTCCATAAAAAATAGAAATAATTTACTTTCCTATTTCCATATAGAATAGGAAACTTAATAAAAAAAAATAGGCATGTAAACCACACCTTATACTTATAAATAGGCAAGGATAGTGAAAGAAGAGAAAGCCAGAGACAGCTGAGAGGAAAAGAGAGGGATTAATTCTAAGGTTTGCAAAAGTACTGTAACTCTATTATTAATCAAAGAAGTCGTTTCTCTACCTAGAGAAATCACAACTGAAAGTAGGCAAAAGTTCTGCCGAACCAATATAAATCCTGTGTGTTTCTAGTTATTCTCTATTTTGCTAAGTTTAGTTTGTTGCCAGATACATCAAAGAACAAGATCTAGAGGAGAGTCAGAATTATAAAACACAAAAAAAATATTCAAACTCTATTATAGTCCAAAACGCACCCCAATTCCTCCACCGTAACCTCAAAATACCTCTTATTTCATTCCAACCAAACAATCCACATAGAAACCAATACCCCACAATGCCGAATGATAATCACATTACGTTGACCCCAGTACCCAATTGACCTTCACTAGCAAGGAACAAGATTTTCTAAGTTAAACCTAAACCACCCCCAACAGTTTCATCAGTCTAACCCAAATTTGTGCTGTAACAGGATCAGCACTCTCCTATTTGGGCAGAGCTTTATATTAGGATTCAGAATCCAAGCATCTTATGATTTCCCATTTTTTGAATTCAATAGCTCAGTTCACTTAAGAAACAACATTCTGGCAAGGGCACTTGTGGGTTTAACTCATTTTCGATTTCCAACAAGAATTCGTCATACACAAAGCAGCTTGAAGCATCAAATTACACTTATGGGTTTAGCTCATTTTCGAATTCCAACAAGAATTAACAATACACAAAGCTTAAAGCATCAATTGCACTTGTGGGTTTAACTCATTTTCGACTTCCGACAAGAATTAACAATACACAAAGCTTAAAGCATCAACTTGCACTTCTGGGTTTAACCCATGTTCGATTTCAGACAAGAATTCACCATACACAAAGCTTAAATCATCAAGTGAACTTGTGGGTTTAACTCATTTTCGACAATTAACCCATTAAACCAAAAGCATAACGCATCAAAATTCATTCTTAAACCACCATTCAAATCCCTAAGTCTCAGATACAGAAAACACACATACTTGAGGGAAGCTTGGTGAACCGGGAGAGAAGACGACGAAGAAGAGGAGGAGGAAGGATCCATGGGCGACATCTCGAGCACGGCCCGATCGTTGTCGACGACGGGGCGGTACTTGTGACCCCTCTGGCCACGGAACTCGTCTTCCGCACCGGCTTCGACGGGACGCTGAGATGAGGACGAAGGGAAGGCAGCGATGAGGACGAAGGACGAAGGGAAGGCAGCGGTGAGGACGAAGGGAAGATCTCTCTCGGTTTGCTCTGGCTTACGAGTCCGCCCAATTTTGGGGTTCCTCGCGAAGAACGGCTAAGGAGGTCGTTAGTCCACGCGAGTCCGGGTTAAGCTCATTAAAGCTAATCCGGATGCACACCAAACACAGGACTATAGTCTAGTCCAGTCCAAGCCTTGCTAATCCTGTCAAACAAACGTGCCCTAAACACATTAACATGAGATCACTTTATCAAAGAAGCTTTGCAAGAATGAGTCATTGATCTTTTGTACTGTCCAACTGCAGATCAAATTGTTAATATATTCACCAATCTTTGGCAAAGGAAATGTTCAATTACTTAAGGAACTTACTTGGAGTGAAATCTGTGCTACGTTTGATGGGGAATGTTGGATTATAAACTTGCACAGATTTATTACAAGTTTAATTTTCTTATTGGTTTATGTTGCTTTAGTTAGTTATAAGTTGATATGGACACTTGCATTTAGCTCATAGGCTAGATGAGATGAAGGGCTGGGATTGTTTGTATTGTTCTCACTTTCTCTCTCTTCCAACCGTTACATTTTGGACTATGTGTGGGGATGTATCAGAGTTACATTCTCTGGATCTCTGAAATTGTTGTGAGGAGTTTCTTATTCCCTCTTGTGATTTCATTACTGTGTACCTTCGTTATCTTTATTTGGTTCTTGCTCAAATACATCGTCACCATATATAACAGATCCTCACAAGATATGCAGTGTAAGAAATTGAAATGAAACAGGGTAAATTTCCTTTGCTAGAGATGTCCAGCATGTGAAATTGTGAGATTGCGAATCTGGACCACACATTCAAATGGCATTCATTTGATTAGTAGTTTGGATTGACAGTCTGACAATAAAACATTTCTAAGTCTTTCTAAACAAAAAAAATGACGTTCTCTCTATAAAAAAATCTTAATATAGTTGGAAATACGTAAACAAATTATCAAATTGAATGAACATCATTGTAGTTTAATGGAGTTAGCAACCTTTGCTTTTCCTCTACTATGACATTCCTTTGAAGATAGCAGAGGCTCAGTGCAACTTACTTGGTCGGATGTAGAGGACCTCTCGGAGGACTGATTAGAATCTTGGGTGCCCCTTCTTGAAGATATCCGCACAATATTATACACATAGGACCACAAATAAACGGCTCCTATCTGAAGCATGAACACAATTGCATTACAAAAAGCAAAGATAGAAATCCCTGATAGCTGAACAAGGTAGCTACATTGTACTGAAGAGAAACAATCACTAGAATTCAAGAGGAAAATTAAAGGACAAAAGAAAATGTGTTCTGAAAAACGTATTCTACACAGCGAGCAGGCGCACACAAACACCGTTTAAGAACTGGCCCTGGCCGTTTGGGGTTAGTACAATTTGTATGTATAATTGTATATGTTCTAGACATGAGATGAAACTTATGATGATATTAAAAATTAATTCGTGAGTTTAAATTGCAGCAACTGGGAATTTTTAACTTGAATGAGAGAATTGGATTGTAACTTATTTGAAGCAGCTTCCCAAGCCTTTCTTAATTCGAATCATAGAAAGCATAAAGAAATTTAAAGAAAACCCAAAATATTGGAACAAGATAAAGAAGGAAAATGTACCGCCATTGAGAGTGAAGCATAACCCATGGCATACATGTGACAGACATCAGAAGCTCCAAATGGGCTCCCTTTTTCTATACAAACCGCTGGGACTATAACGAGGAGCATCATACCCAAATTACCTGTTAAGTGTTAACATCCGCATCTCTTAATATTGATAAAACGCAAAACCAAATACTTATCAGCTGTGTTTTAGAATTAGAGCGTTGGATTACCTGCAGCACAGCAACCCAGTACAAGGCCTCGCAGATGGGCAGGAGGCCTTGTTAATTGGATGAGAAGCCATCCGAGCATGGAACCAATTACAAATGTGATGAGGATATTCACGGGCATGAACCACCTATACACATAATAATTAATACAACGTTAACATGATTATATACATACATACCTATATATATATATATATTTATATATATATATATATATAGATTAAACAAAGTAAATAGAACTCACATTTTAACCATGCTTTGATATGTAATTGTCTGCGCAATGTTGGAACCCACCAGAGCAGGACTGAATACATAAAACACAACCTGTTTGTTCGTTGGTTCACAAAACACAAATACTAGTAAGAAAACAGTCCAACACCAGAGAAATTAAATTAAATGAAGAGGGTTTAGTGCACAAGAGACTGAATGAAGAAGCAGTGTATTGTTTTAACTTACAGTGTTTAAGTTCTTTCTAGTAACTTCCCCCAAAATATTGACACGATCAAGAGCAAGATATAAGCCAAGTGCTGTTATCAAGAGCACTTTCAACACCGGAATTGAGGCCATCACAAACAGCTGCTTAAGCTCCATCCTTTTCCTTTATCAATTATTCTAAATTATTATTAGCTCGTCTTCACCTCCTCCTCTGGCACCTCTGCCTCTGCAATTGTAATGCCAAACGGAAAAGAAAAACACAAACATGCAATCAAAATGCCAGTTTTGGGATAGGAATTCAACAACATATAATATACATATACATATATACATACATATATATATATATATATATATATATATATATAAATGATACTACCAAGAGACAATTAGAGAAAAATGAGGAGGTTTTTAGGATGTGGAATCAGACCTCCGGATTTGTATTAAATAGTACTAATATGCATATCAAACGAGGCCTAAGCTGCTATATCCAAGCTCAGATCAACTGCTTTTGTTTTGCTTTCATAAAAAGAAAGGAAAAACAACAAAAAGCAATCAAGCAAGAAAGCAAGCACGTATATATGATAGATTTAAGAATGTATTAGGAGGAAAAACAATAAGGGCATATGCATTTATATGCTTTCATGCAGCAATTAAACATTTAGTCGCTTGTCTGAGCTGGGTCGACCCGATGCCGATGGGATCATGGGATGGTGCTCAAATAAAAAGGTTTAATCAACACACGTCTCGTCTGGCGTCTGCGTTTCTGTCGTTTTCTGCTTCCCATTTCCTTTGCCATTGGTGACTTGGTTACTACAATAGACCCATCGCAATCACTGGTCTAGTTTTATGTCGTGTTCCTCCCAAACGAAGAGAGTTCGTTGCAACCATATGTTCACAGTTATTTCTTATAAAATATATTCATTTATTCTTCATCGTCGATATCATGTTTAACAGCGAGTGACCATATACTTTATGGATAACCCAAATAATGGTCTGTTTGATCCTCATGAAAACAGATGACTAGGTGGTACTGAATCCACTATTGTGATTTTATATTGATCACTGTGTTACTTGTTTTCATATTGTGACATGTCCGATCCCGATATCCCCAAATATCAGGATAGGTACGTTCTGGCTGACACCCGAAGGTGACGAAGCCATTTTAAACATGCATACAAGTAAATATGTAATTAGAAAGAAATGCATACAACTAATCAAGAATAATGTGAAAGAATTATTATAAAAAAAGGTACGAACCAAGAAATGAGTCCTACACTGAGAAGACTCGAAGATACCTATGCGAATGTGCCTTGACGCCGAGATTGAATGCCTCAACTCTAACTCTTGAGGGGGTGCAAAACAAAGGGTGAGTGGACCAAAATTTATAATAATAATACTAATAATAAGAAAACCATTTTTTTTCTGAACATACTAATCCCCTATTTTGAAAACACATATATAGTACTACATAGTAGATTTCTGAAAACTCTAGCATGCCATGAAAAACGTTCGTAAAATATGTACGTGTAAATCAGTGCTCAATAAAGGTAATATAGCCGTCCGAAGGCAAATCCGTAAATCTCATCAATGATGTACTCAACTAGGGGTATCATAGTGGCCTGAAGGCATAATCATCACCAAAGGTGAAGCTGTACACACTGGGTTATGCCAGTGAAGAAACCATGGTCCATCACCCGAAGGTGAAGCTGTACGACTCCGGGTTACGCCAGAGAAGGGGATATAACATATGCATGTATATGCAATTGGTCCATCAACCGAAGGTGAAGCTATACGACTCCAGGTTACGCTAGAGTAGAAACATAGGGTCTATCACCCGAAGTTGAAGCTGTACGACTCTGGGTTACACCAGAGAAGAAACATATACATATAACATATCACACCGACACTAGCCCCAGGCTAATGAAGCTAGGGGTATGTCATAAATATCATCAACTATATCCTATGGCCATAAACGTCTACATACCCGATTGTATGTATGTGCTGTATGATAACCCACTAGATAAGCACCGAAAACATACCTAAAAAATCCCATATCAAATCTGGAGCTCAAAAGCTCAAAGCCTCGTAATAACCAACCATATTCATAAATCCGTAAAATTATCATATGCGTAAATCCAATACTTCATAACGTTTCGTAAAACATAATTCAATAAATCATAAATATTTTGTAAAAGCAATTTAAATAAATCATAATTTCTCCGTAAACCATAGTATAGAAATCCTTAAAACATACTCAATTTATGAAATATGCAATGCATGTGAGCCTAATATTTTATAAAAACATGCAAGTTCAGAAGGGGTCCGCTCAAGGATATTTTGTTGCCTGAAAGCCGCTCAAGCTAGCGAGAATAGAGTCACTTCCCACCGATGCAAGTAAGTGGGATGTGAATCATGGCCAAATCTGGCCAGAGAAAGGTCTGCAACCTTTCGGACTCGCCGGAATCTGGGGAGAAGTCCCCACGTCATTCTGTGGAATTCCACTGTCCAAAACACATCTCCACGATCAATAATAACTACGAGGATAAAAGGGAAAAGGTTAAGAGAGTCCCAAGGCTTACCAAGGTCGAAGTTGTCGAGAACCTCACCGAAGTAACTCGGGTTCGATCGTTAGCCTTGGCTGGTTTTAAACATTGATAACAACTCGAGAGAGATAAATTGGGAAAGAAGATGGTGGGGGTTTGGAGGGTTCATCAAAGAGGCGAGGTGGTATGGTGGTGTGCGTCCGTGCTCGGAGAGAGAGAGAGAGTGATGAGAGGGAGGGGAATTTGTGAGTGAGAGAGGTAAGATGTGTCCTTGGGAAGAAGAAAAAGGAAAGGGAGAGGGTTCGAGAGATTGGGGGAGGGGAGGACACGTGGCAAATGGAGAATTGGGGTGTGGGCCCCACGTGACAGAAAATGTTAAATAATAAAAATAGCTAATCCTAATATCTAGAATAGTGAAATGACTATTTTGCCCTTCGACTTCATAGTTCCGTAAAACGTTCATTGTAACTCCAAATCCGATTTCTCTTGCACCAACATGCTCGTAGCGACGAGTGCTACAAGGATACGCCAAGAAAATGGATCTTACGTGACACGACAATGCGGTCAACAAAAGTCAACATTTTTTCCTCGAAGGGCATTTTCGTAACTTCACGCTTTAAAATTATAAAAACCGTAATATTTGAGGACGGGTCATTACATATTGGATATAGACAAGATTATTTTTAAGATAATAGTTGCATACTCCTATATAGAAATGCATATATTTTATCTCTTGCAAAAAAAAACGAATTTTTATAGTATGAATTTTATAATCAGGACTGTTCATTTATTTAATATTCATTGAAAGACATCCCCACAAACAAAAAAAATGTCAAACTGCTTTGCACCGAAAAAGTCTGCTACCTGAACTTGGTACCGAAAAAGAGCCAAACTATGGCGAAAAAAAGAAGTTAATTTCTCTACTAACAATATAATTTAAAGACTTGTTTGATAACATTTTGGTTTTAATTTTCATTTTTGTCTTAAAAATAGAAGAGTAATACATAAGAGAAAGAAGGGTTATAAAGAGTGAAGGAATAGAATGATTGCAATGGTGTAAAAGAAATGTCCAACAAAAGGTATACAAAACAAAAACTAAACATCAAAACCGAAATTTATTTTGAGTTATTTTTACTTTCAAGATCTTATTTTAGGGAGATGATTTTCACACTCCTTTTAGCCTCTCATGCACAGAAGATTTTATAGTGTGTCCACGGGTACATATGTCATATGCCATTATACAAGTGGAGGGATACTTGAAAAAAAAAAATTCTTCTGCTTGTATAATAACATATGACGTACTGTCCCTTATTTCAGGCACAATGAAAAATCCCTCCTCTCGTTTACTCTTTTTTTTTACCATTGAGTTAAATAAATTAAAAAGAAACAACAGTAAGGATTAAACGGGGGTGTGTACGAAACTAAAAAGAGTGTGTATAGATCATTTTTCCTATTTTTATTTGTCCTCTCTTTCACCATACCCCTTCATTTCTTCATTCTCTTACTTTCTATATGTAAGCGCGAAAACTAAACACGAAATAATAATTAAAAAAACATTTATAACTCTGTGTATATTCAGACTTGAGTGGGACAAGATTATCTCATTTACAATATAAAAAGAAACAGCTGTTTTTCTCTTGTTTTTCTTTTGGTAATGAAAACAACTGTGTTTCTAAATCACAACGGACGAGAAATGAAATCAAAATTGATGAGCTAAAAGCCTAAACTCATGCATCTGAGCCATTACAAGAGGGACATTGGTCCTTCTGTACCTCCTATTTAAAAGTCTTACAATCTTGTAAGATTTATGAAATGAGCTTCGGTTAGAATATATTCCCATAAATTACCGGACAAATCGAGAGAAATTAGCTGAAAGAGTTGTCCCATACTTTGTTATGGAGCTCTTCATATTATTAGAAGAGAGGTCTAGTGTTCTCAAGGATGGCAAGTTTCTGATGAAGTCTGGAATTGAGCCCCACAAATTATTGTACATGAGGTTGAGATTATGCAAACTTTTTGGCTTTCCTAAGGAGTCTGGCAGTTGACTTTGCATACCATAAGGTTGAGTTATTTGGACATTTTTGAGAAACTCCTCCAGAACTATTCAATCTCACCCCCCCCCCCCTCCCTTTCTCCTCAAAATTGTTTCCGGAAGGACTTAAAAACTATAGCTTGCATAAATTACCAATGACCTTGAATTTGACCTTTTGAAGCATAAATGAAGGTATTCCAGAGATTTGAAGTTTGCAAATTCACATGGGAAAGGATCACCGAAATCACCAGGATAGATCAACTGTTATAAGGCTGGTAAGGTTAAAAACCAATTGAGATGTCACTTAGTACTATGGTCTAGTGGTATTCCTCTTCACTTATAAGTGAGAGGTCTTAGGTTCAATTTTCGCCAAATGCGAATTTGAACCAAATATTGCTAGCCCATTGTAAGGCTAACCTCACTCCCTCCCCTTTAGTGTAGATAATATCGTTTGTTCAAAAAAAAAAAAAAAAAAGACAACCAATTGAGAAATGGAGAACTTGTAATAATGTTAAACCACACATCAAGGCCCAAAAAGTGAAGTCAAGTTAATCCTTTGTAGTGAGAGTGGAAGGAAGTTAATGCCCTGCAGTTAGAGTGAAATGCTTTCAATTTGGCACGAAGATAAGTGTAACTCTAACAATGAAGGAAGCATGTTGATATCACATGCCCAACTGACTCCTGTGCTGTTAAGATAAATGGAATTGAGATAATTAAGGTATTTCAGGGAAGAGAGGTTATGTCATTATTATGTAGTATGTTCAACAAGCGCTTGTCGTTCTTTCTCAATGCATATTATGGATTTCACAATACTAGTGTTCAAAATTCTGGTATCACCCAAGCAGAGTATAGCAGCAGGTATATACGAGGGTGCCAAAAACAAGAGGAGCAAACGGTGAGAAACATTGAGGTGATGGATAGGATTGAATAAGCTTTAGCATACAAGGTATCCATTGGAGAAATCAAAGTATATATTCCCAATTGGTTGCAGAAAAATCAATATATAAGAAGCAATGATCAAGTAAAAATATGTCAATACTATGAATTATGTGATTGATAAGTAGAAATTGGGATGGGCAATGGGAAAAAAAATA